GGACTCAGGGACAAAGCGCCTTACAGGTTTGAGATCTGGGGCTATGGCCGGTTCCTCTGTGTCACTTGAGTAGAAGTCGGGGCCGAATGGTGGCTGTAATGGGAGAGGGGGTGGTGGCAAGGGATCAGCGCTCACAGCCAGCTCACTGTCACGAAGAGTCTGGAGGGTTCCTATGGTGCTGTCTTGATAGGGTGAGTCCCTGTCCCTTGGGACTTCATCATAATGTCTGTCCCGATTCCTGGACCTTCCATCATTTGACGACATTTGTGACTTTTATACCTGTGGCCAAGAAGTTAAAGTTATCACTTAATGCCTAGCTATTTATTCCTTCAATGATCCTGATTTTATTCACTTAATGGCAGATGATCATATTTAGGAAACCAATATGATCATGTCTAATTATCATGATATGTAAAAAGGATAATAGATATATTTTAAACATATACAACATATTAGCCAGGGGTAACATCATCATTCTTTATGATTTTAAGGGTAATCAAAATTAAAATCTTAGTTCTGAATTAAAATATTTCTAAGTCTAATTTACCTATGAGCCGTGTAAAAAACAAAGTGTAGAAACCAAATAAGAAGCTAAATTTTAATAATACAGGATACTAACAGATCCCAAGCAGAACTCTTTTCTCAAATGCCTAAACCAAAATATTTAGTAGTTTGAGCATACCGAAGTTTGATGTGTCAGCAAATACTCTTCATTTTCATTACCTCAAATCTCCTTTGGAATGGCCTGGGAGAAGCAGCTCTAATAAATGCAGGGACTGAAGAGCCCCTTTCTTTCTTAAATCAGGGAAGTTGGTTTAGGGGAAATTGCTTCTTCCACTCTAAAATATTAATTATTGACACTCGGTTTTAAAAACTGAATTCTCAGAGAAAAAAAATCACTGAAGGTTAAGATTCCCCAGAAGTACAACACAGAGCAACCATGTGTATCACGTGTAGCACTCTTTCCAGAGGAGCCACTTAAAGGCGATTTGCTGTTGCCATAGCAACACTCAAACAGTATCTCAAAGGAGGTTTGATCCACCTAAAAAATAAAGCAGACAAAAAGCATTTACTAAACCTGTTGACTTCCTTCACGAAATCAGTGACCTACATGTACACACAAAAAAGGATACTATTCGCTAATGTAACTACTAGGTTTAAGGACAATGAATTTCTCCCTCTCATTGTTTATAAGCAAGTATTTACTGAAAACTAACTGGACATATAGTACTATACTTGGCACTATGAAGATCTCAAAGTTTAAATGGAGAATCCCACCTCTGTAGTGTTGAACCATTTAGAAGTTCCTTAGGCTTTGGGTGGTTTTTTTTTAATTTTTTTTTTAAAGATTTTATTTATTTGACAGAGAGATCACAAGCAGGCAGAGAGGCAGGCAGAGAGAGGAGGAAAGGGGCTCCCCGCTGAGCAGAGAGCCCCATGTGGGGCTCGATCCCAGGACTCTGAGATCATGACCCGAGCCGAAGGCAGCGGCTTAACCCACTGAGCCACCCAGGCGCCCCTGTTTTTTGTTTTTAAATTGAGAGAGAAAGAGAGCAGAGGGAGAGTGAGAATCTTAAGCAGACTCCATGCCCAGTGCGAGCCTGATGAGGGGCTAGAGTTCATGACCCTAAGATCATGACCTGAGTGGGATGCTTAATCGACCAAACCACACAGGTACCCTCCTAAGGCTTTGCTTTATTTCATTTTGTAAAATGGAGACCTATCCGTTCAACGAATAGTTACCAAACATCTGTTAAGCACCAGGTATGCTAGAAGTGTATCAGTGAAAAAAAAAAAAAAACAAAACAAACAACTGAGGGGCGCCTGAGTGCCTCAGTGGGTTAAAGCCTCTGCCTTCGGCCCAGGTCATGACCCCAGGGTCCTGGGATCGAGCCCCCATCAGGCTCTCTGCTCAGCAGGGAGCCTGCTTCCTCTCCCTCTGTCTGCCTCTCTGCCTACTTGTGATCTCTGTCAAATAAATAAATAAAATCTTTTTAAAAAAAAAAAACCCAACAACTGAAATCTCTGAGTTTATGGAACTTAAGTCTCAATGTGGGGATGACAGATAAGGGAAGTGAAATACACTGGATGCTAAGGAACAAAGTTAAGAAAGGTGATAAGGAGCTCTCTGCCACAGGGTATTACAATTTTACATGGAATGACCTGAGAAGTCTTCATAGAGAATGTATCATCTGAACATAGAAAGGAAGGAGGTAGAGGAGGAAGCCAGACAGGTTATCAGGGGAAGCGGTCCAGGTGGATGGAACAGCTAGTGCAAAAGCCCTAAGGCAGGAGTGCCTGGCAAGTTCAAGAACTATTAAGTCATAGAGGCAAGGGTGGCCGCAGAGTGAGTGAGAGGGTAAGCAGCAGAATTAAGTCCATCTGAATCATTAGGGCCTTGAGAACCACAGGAAAGGATTTTGGCTTTTACCAGGAGTGAGAGGAGAAGCGCATGAAACATTCTGAGTAGAGCAGTGACAAGATCTGATATGTTTTAATAGGATCACTCTGGACACTAAGTCGAGAGTACACTCCAGGTGACAAGGAAGAAAACGGAGATTGGCTAAGATGCCACTGACTGAATCCAATGGATCATGGTGGTAGCAATGGAGATAGAAAGAAGTCAAATTTTTTAACACAAGGAATTAAAATTTTTTTATTATAGAAAGTTTCAAACATAATAAAAAGTGAAAAGAATAGTATCATGAACCCTATGTATGCCCATCAACCAACTTCAATAATTATCCATTGATGACCAATCCTGTTTCGTGTATCCCTCCTGCCGACAGATTACTTTGAAGCAAATCTCAGACATCAGATAGTTTCATTTGCAACATTTCTCCACCCCTCCAAACTGGAGAAAGCCCTGGGGATATGCAGCCTCAAGAGTTTTAGATACCCATTAGAAATCCAGAGAGGAGCAGTAGGCAGTGTACAACAGAAGGGTAAGTACCACCATAGACTAGATAGTCTCCCACGGAATGGGTGAAAATGTAGAGAGTTCTAAATTTCTGGGTTTTCTAATGGGGTATCCCAATTTAGAGAATTAACTGCTAGTTCCAGCATGGTGCCCAGTGCAAAGTAGGATATAAATGACAGCAATTAGCAGTTATTTTTGTCTCTGTCATTTATCTCATCTGTGACTAAAAACATTTATTTTACTTTTTAAAAGACTTTAAATTTACTTGACAGAGACAGAGACAGCCAGCGTACACGTAGGGGGAGCAGAAAGCAGGAGGAGACGCGGAAGCAGGTTCCCTCAGTCCCAGGACCTTGGGCTCTGAAGGCAGAGGCTTAACCGACAGCCACGCAGGCGCCCCCTGTGTCTAAAAACATTTCAATTCTAGAAATGCCCTGTACTATTGCTGTTTTTAAATATATTTTCCTAAGAAAAGTCGAAGCAAAAGCACAGAAATAACTGCAGCAAGTTCTACATAACTCAATATCCCATTGCTTAATTTAACACCCTGGTAAAAACGTGTGCTTCACTGAAACGGGTTTATCTTCACCTGTGTGAAGTGGCTCATTTGAATCAGAACACCTTATCGACGTTTACATAATAAAAATAATTTTTACATAAAAAGCAAAAAATAAACGTGGGGAATCATGAAATAACAAAAGGCGTGATTTTAGAAGGGAACGGCCAGCGGTATTTGCCGACATCGTGGTTCCCGGCTGCGCCTCGCGTCTCTCTCAGGGCGCCACTGGGAGCCCTCCTGGATTCAGCACGCTGAGGCACAGGGGGTCTTTGTTTTGGACAAGCCCCGGACTCTGGCTCCCTTCCGTAGGCGCACACAGCTCTGAAAGCCATAGCGGGGGAGGATACGTGGTTTCCCCCAGGAAAGTGACACGGGAACCCAACTTCTCGCCTTTACAAAAAACTGAAGCATCGCTTTCAAGTTTTGCTGGGCCCACGAGATGTTTCTGGGCTTCCTGGGAGCCGGGAAAGGCCCGAGGGTTTTAAGTTAATCCACGCGAGTGACAAGGGACACCGAGCACGGGCGCTGGGGTCGCTCCCGAGCCCGCCGCTCGCCGTCCGGTCCGCCAGACTCTCTCTCACTCCCCGGGACTGCCCACCCCGGGGACCGCTCGGTCTGCGCGTTCGACAGAAAATCCATTCTCGGTCGGTCGAGACGACGCCCCAAAGCGGCCGGAACTAAGTCCGCGCGCAGATCGGGATCAGAGGATCCCGGCGCCGGGGAAGGGCGTCCGCTGGCCCCGCCTCGCCGCGCACCTGTGTCCCCTGAATGAAAGCGGGCTGGCTGAGCCGCCCTCCTGACGCGCAGGCCTCGCTCTCCCCGGCGCCCTCACCTCTCTCCGCGTCTCCGTCCGGCCTCGGCCGCAGGTTATGGCGGAGCTGAGTGGCGTGCGCCGCGAACCCGGGCGCGCGCCGAGGGGTCCAAAGCCTCTCTTTCCCCGGCCGCGCACCTGCCGGGGGAGCAGGGGGGCGCCGGGCCCCTCCCCGTCAGCCGCCGCCTCACAAGGGCCCCACCCCTCGGGCCCACTCACCTGCGCGGCTGCCGGGAACAGCGCGCACACAGCCCACTGCAAGGAAAGCCCGCTCAGCTGCCGGGGCGGGGCCGAGCCAAGTTTGCCCCGCCCGGCTTTGTCAGGCCGGGACTTTCGCTCCGCACCCGGGAGGGTCGCGGCCCGCCCCGCACCTCGGAGCGGCGGTTACACTCAGCTCCGGCCGCGCCACGGCGCGAGCACACAGCTCGGAAAGGTAGTAAAAGGTGTGATTACTACCCCCGGAGAGTTCTCATCGCAAGGTTGCCATTCTCTTCCCTGTTTTTGAAAAGTTAACAACGGATAAAGGGAGAGTCATGTATGCCCAATGATACCTGGCCAAGACTATGTTAGGAAACAGTTAAAAAAAGAAACGAAAAGAAATTCAACATTTTAATTTTGATATAAATTAAATACTTTCCAAAAAGCATCTAAAATAGTCCACTGTACAGCATATAAAAATGGTACTTGAGAAGTAAGAGACCATAGAGAAATTGTGGATAAGGCACAAGGTTTATTTACACTCATAATTGCATGCTAAACTGTTTCATAATTCATATTTACAACCCCATAAAGTTTTAGTATTCTAAGTTATTCCTTCACATTCTTTGATATTTGGCATAATGTTCAAACACACGTCATTCACACTGACCTCCTCTCCCACCCACTCACAAGACTAAATAAATACTAGAGGAAAAAAAATTAAGATATTATTTGAAACTTGATCTTCTGTTTACTTCAAAATGACAGAGAAGTCAGTTTCTTGTGCTGAAATACTACCAAGAGTGAAGTATTAAGCTGTCATTCATTTGAAAAGTATATTATCTCTGTTCAACTACCACTGAATAAAATGCACATGAACCTGCCAAGTAGCACCATGACCAGCAGGCTGGTTTCTATGTCCCATCACTCTCATAGTCTTCTATAATCAGCTCTTCTTCTTCCATGTCTTGTGCGGAAAAGGGCTGAGGCTGGCTGGCAGGCAGTTCACTCCCACTATTTTGACTCAAAGGCAGACAGCACGTTTCAGTTTCCGCGGTTTGAGTGGGTTCACCCAGAGCTTCCTCTGCAGGGTGCCCTCCTCCATTAAGATGGGCTTCATCTCCACTGTCTGGGTCTATCAATCCAGGTTCCCGGTCGGTCAGGGCTTCCATTTTCAACCTGCCAGATTCATAATGCAGGCATCATAATAACGAGAAAACGGGTTATCTTTAAATTATGCCATGCATGTGAGAATTATGAAGCCATCTCTAGTCTTTCACTTACCTGACTGAGCTTGCTGTTTAGCCAAGCCCTTTGGTTTATTTAATGGTATAAAATAGTACAAGGTAAATGACAATATGTGAAAAAATTACAACTTACAATATAAATGACTCGATCAATGTCTTTGCTAAAGAGTTCTTACAAATTAAAAATAAAAATTAAATAGAATAGTAAAATGGGTAGGGGCGCCTGGGTGGCTCAGCTGGTTAAGTGTCACACTCCTGATTCAGGCTCGGGTCATGATCTCAGGGTTCAGATCGGCTCCACACTGAGAGTGGAACCTGCTGCATATTTTCTCTCTCCCTAGCCCTCTGCCCTTCCTTCACCTCGTGGGCACACATCCACGCACTCTCTCTCTTAAAAAAAAATAGGAAAAATTGGGTATAAATGGGAGAACTTACATAAAAAATACAAATGGTAACTAAATTTTTCAACCTAATTAGTAATTTTCAAAATTGAAATTAAAATAATGAACTACTACCATCATCTTTAAAACTGGCAAAGACCTTTATTTATTTAGTTAGCTAGTTATTAAAGTTTCATTTATTTAAGTAATCTCTACACCCAACGTGGGACTCAATCCCAAGATCAAGAGTCTCATGCTCTTCTGACTGAGCCAGCCAAGTACCACAAGACCTTTTAGGAAGGTTTTAATAAAACCCAGTGGTGCCAAGAGCTAGGAGAAAAGAATATACTGATACACAATAAGTGGACATAAAACTGGCAAAATATTCCTGGAAGTAATCTGGCAATATAGAACAAAGGCTTCAGAGAAGTGTATATCTATGGATCCAGCAAGTTTATTTTTAGGAATACATTCTATATAAATAGCATTTGATGTTCACAATGATTAAAGCTACAAGGAAAACTGTGATAAAATTGGAAATAAGCTAAATGTACAAAAATAAGGTGTACTATTAAATATTAACTATTAAGCTATATATTAATGTTCAATATTGTCAACATGAATCAATTATAATATTAAATATGGTCATCATGATTGTTTATTTAAGTAATCTCTATATCCAATGTGGGGCTCGAACTCACAACCCCGAGATTGACAGTCTCATGTTCTATCTTGACTGTGCCATCATGAATGACTATAGTAAATAGCACTGACAAATCCTGTCTCCCAAGTTAGATCAAGTAGTTGAACCAGTAACAGCAGTTAAAAAGCCCTTTTAAAACTTTTAAAATTTGACCTTACAAATAAGCTAAGTAGAAATGAAATATAGGTATTGTGTTAATCACTGTATTAGCCCAGAAGTGATTTTGGAATAAAAGGAACAGCACAGATAAAGATTTACCTCTCTATATCTACAGTTTTGTTTTGTTTTGTTTTTTAATTTGTCTGAATCTAATAAGAGAAGGAAGTTAAAAAAAAAAAAAGAGTGCTTTTGTGGTAGTTGCTGGTCAATGCAGGCTTTAAACATAGGCTAAGAACACCTCTGGGCAGGAAAGGTGAAAAGGGGTTTCCACATATGCAAGATTTGTTAAATGAAGAATTTTTAAAATCCCCTTACTTTTATGATTGTGAGCCAGTGAAAATATATGTAATAAAATGATGGATATACAATGCAATCATATGGTCATTAATCACTGGAAATAACATGTATTTCTTAGATTTTACAGATAAATTTTACTGGCTGTATACTTAATAAATAGGTAACAGTCAGTGGACATTTCAGTAACAGGTCTTGAAATAGGTTTTTTTGGTTTGTTATTTGCTTTGTTTTTTTTTTAAGATTTTATTTATTTATTTGACAGAGAGAGATCACAAGTAGGCAGAGAGGCAGGCAGAGAGAGGGGGGGAAGCAGGCTCACCGCTGAGCAGAGAGCCTGATGCGGGGCTCGATCCCAGGACCCTGAGATCATGACCTGAGCCGAAGGCAGAGGCTTAACCCACTGAGTCACCCAGGTGCCCCTTGAAACAGGTCTTTAAAATTAAATCAGCTTACCTTCCAAAGTGTCGTTTCAGAGGAAGCCTTCCAATATCTTGAATAAAAGAAATTTGAGCTGAAACAGATTTTTAAAAAGCTTTAGACAGACAACTCTCTGCAGATAAATGAAAAACAAGCACATAAAAATCATGAATCCTCTGGAAAATTCTAATGAAAACCACAGGATACCATTTCACATTCTTTACGATGTCTATTATAAAAAAAAAAAAGAAAGAAAGAAAAAGAAAAAAGAAAAGTTTCGCAAAGATATGCAGAAAGTGAAACCCTTGGGAATTGCTAGTGGAAATGTAAAACAGTATAACTGATGTGGAAAATGGTAAGGCAGTTCCTTAAAAAATTAAATACAAAATTACTGTATGACCTAGCAATTCCATTTCTGGGTATATATCCAAAAGAACTGACAGCACAGTCTTAAAAAGTATTTGTACACCCATGTTCATAACAGCATCGTTCACAATAGCCAAAAGGTGGAAGCAACTTATGCGTCCATCGGCAGATGAATGGATAAACAAAATGTGGTATATACACACAATGTGGTATTATTCAACCTTAAAAAGGAAATTGATAGGGGCGCCTAGTAGTTTCAAATTTGCAAGATGACAAAATTCTAGGGATTGGTTTTACAAAGTGAATATGCTCATTACCACTGAACTACATACTTAAAAATGGTTTAAGATGATAAATTTTTATATTCTGAAAAAACATTTATTCAGGAAAATCTAACAGCAAGAGTCTGTGGCATTTGAACCAGGACTCACTCCATTGCTTCTTCAGCTTTAGAGAGACTTCACACTAGGTGGGTGCAGCCAAGGACCCATAGGACTCCTTCCCTCCTGTGGCTAGCCAAAAATTCAGGATTCCCTTTCTCCAACCTAAAGCATGGAAGCTCTATCCTAGTAGCACAGCAGGCTGAGAATCCTCCTTCCTCCTTGAACTACAATGGCCCTCACCCAAGTTCCTTCTTTAGGGAAGTGGGTCCACACTGTGAGGGTCCCAGCCATGATGATCAGAGGCTACCTACACTTGAGCACTCACCCAGAACAGTGACTCACTACAGGGGCTCAACAGTAGATTTGAACTGGCTGAAGAAAGAATTAGTCAACTTGAACAAGACTGATAAATACTGTGTAATCAAATAAGAGAGAGAAAATGGAGAGAAATGAACAAAGCTATCAGAGGTATGTGGTATACCTTTAAGCAGGGAGGACCAGAATAAAAGACAAAGGAGTAAAAAGTAAATAAATAATGCCTAAAATGACATAGTAAATAAAGAAATGCGGGGGAAATGCGGGGGAAATGATAAGTAAAACATATATATATATATATATATATGTGTGTGTGTGTATATATATATATACACACACATATATACACACACACACACACACACACACACATATATATATATATATATTTTTTTTTTTTTTAAGTAGGCTCCACACCCAATGTGGGGCTTAACTCCCACCCCAAGATCAAGAGTTGCATGCTCTTGAGGTGCCTCGTTTTGCAGTGGGTTGAGCGCCCAACTCTTGGTTTCAGCTCAGGTCACGATCTCAGGGCTGTGGGATGGAGCCTGAGGGCTCTATCCTCAGTGCTGAGTTGGCCTAAGACTCTTCTTTCCCCACACCCACCCTCCCCCCGACCCCTCTTGCACATGCTAATAAATACTGGGGAAAAAAAAAAGTTGCATGCTCTACCAACTCAGCCAGCCAGGCGGCCTCAAAACATTTCTTTTTACTTTATGTTAGTCACCATACAATACATCATTAGTTTTTGATGTAGTGTTCCAGGACTCATTGCTTGCATATTATACCCAGTGCTCCATGCACTATGTGCCCTCCTTAATACCCATCACCGGACTAACCCATCCCCCCAACCCCTCCCCACTAAAACCCTCCATTTGTTTCCAGGAGTCCATGGTCTCTCATGGTTTGTTCCTCCTTCATTTTCCCCTTCCTTCTCCTAATGTCCTCCATGCTATACGTTATGCTCCACAAATAAATGAAATCTTATGATAATTGGCTTTCTCTGCTTGACTTATTTCACTCAGCATAATCTCCTCCAGTCCCATCCATGTTGATGCAAAAGTTGGGTATTCATTCATCCCTTATGATGGCTAAGTAACATTCCATTATATACATGGACCACATCTTCTTTCACCATTCATCTGCTGAGGGGCATCTCGGCTTTTTCCACAGTTTAGTTATTGGGGACACTGGTGCTATGAACACTGGGGGGAGCATGAGGTCCTTCTTTTCACTACATCTATATTTTTGGGGTAAATACCCAGTAGTGCAATCGCTAAGTCATAAGGTAGTTCTATTTTTAATTTTTGAGGAATCTCCATGCTGTTTTCCAAAGTGGCTGTACCAACCTGCATTCCCACCAACGGTGTAAGAGGGTTCCCCCTTCTCCACAAGCTCTCTCAACATTTGTTGTTCCTTGCCTTGTCAAATTTTGCCATTCTGACTGGTGTAAGGTTGTATCTCGATGTGGTTTTGATTTGAATTTCCCTGATGGCTAATGATGATGAACATTTCATGTGTCTATTAGCCATTTGTATGCCTTCTTTGGAGAAGTGTCTGTTCATGTCTTCTGCCCATTTTTTTTTTTAAGATTTTATTTATTTATGTGACAGAGAGATCACAAATAGGCAGAGAGGCAGGCAGAGAGAGAGGGGGAAGCAGGCTCCCTGACAAGCAGAGAGCCCGATGTGGGGCTCGATCCCAGGACCCTGAGATCATGACCTGAGCCAAAGGCAGAGGCTTAACCCACTGAGCAACCCAGGCGCCCCTTCTGCCCATTTTTTTACTTGGTTATTTGTTTTTTGGGTGTTGAGTTTGAGAAGTTCTTTATAGATCTTGGATATCAGCCCTTTGTAGTGTCATTTGCAAATATCTTCTCCCATTCCATGGGTTGCCTCTTTGTATTGTTGACTATTTCCTTTGCTTTTCAGAAGCTTTTTATCTTGATGAAGTACCAAAAGTTCACTTTTGCTTTTGTTTCCCTGGCCTTTGGAGACATGTCTTGAAAGAAGTTGCTGTGGCCAATGCTGAAGAGATTACTGCCTATGTTCTCTTCTAGAATTCTGATGGATTCCTGTCTCGCATTGAGGTCTTTCATCCATTTTGAGTTTATCTTTGTGCATGGTGTAAGAGAATGGACCAGTTTCATTCTTCTGTATATAGCTGTCCAATTTTCCCAGCACCATTTATTGAAGAGACTGTCTTTCATCCATTGGATATTTCTTCCCGCTTTGTTGAAGATTACTTGACCACAGAATTGAGGGTCCATATCTGGGCTCTCTATTCTGTTCCACGGCCTATGTGTCTGTTTTTGTGCCAGTACCATGCTGTCTTGGTGATTATAGCTTTGTAATATAGCTTAAAATCAGGCAACATGATGCCCCCAGCTTTTCTTTTTCAATATAATATCCTTGGCGCTTCGGGGTCTTTTCTGATTCCATACAAATTTTAGGATTGTTTGTTCCAGCACTTTGAAAAATGCCAGTGGTATTTTGATTGGGATGGCTTTGGAAGTATAGATTGCTCTGGCCAGCAGATTTTAACAATATTTATTCTTCCAACCCATGAACATGGAATGTTTTTGTATCTTTTTGTGTCTTCTTCAATTTCTTTCATGAGTGTTCTGTAGTTTTTAGAATATAGGTCCCTTGCCTCTTTGGCTAGGTTTATTCCAAGGTATCTTACGGGTTTTGATGCTACTGTAAATGGAATTTATTCTCTAATTTCTCTTTCTACAGTTACATTGTTAGTGTATTAGAAAGCAACTGATTTTTTTAATTATTAATTTTTATTAACATCACATCAATTCTTATGTATTAATATTAATAATTATAATTAATCGTATTAATGATTAATATTAATAATCATGTATTATTAGCCCCATTATTAGCCCCATACAGGTCTGTGAATCGCCACGTTTACACACTTCACAGCACATACCCTCCCCAATGTCCATAACCCAACCACCCTCTCCCTTCCCCACCCCCACCCCCGCCAGCAGCCCTCAGTTTGTTTTGTGAGATTAAGAGTCTCTTATGGTTTGTCTCCCTCCCAATCCCATCTTGTTTCATTTTTTCCTTCCCTACCCCCCAAGCCCCCACATTGCTTCTCAAATTCCTCATATCAGGGAGTTCACATGATAACTGTCTTTCTTGGATTGACTTATTTCGCTCAGCATAATACCCTTTAGTTCCATCCACGTCGTCGCAAATGTTGATTCTTTTGATGGCTGCATAGTATTCCATTGTATATATACCACATCTTCTTTATTCATTCATCTGTTGATGGACATCTAGGAGTTTGGCTATTGTGGACATTGCTGCTATAAACATTCGGGTGCACGTGCCCCTTCAGATCACTACATTTGTATCTTTAGGATAAATACCCAGTAGTGCGATTGCTGGGTCGTAGGGTAGCTCTGTTTTCATTTTTTTTTTTTTTTAAGATTTTATTTATTTGACAGAGAGAGATCACAAGTAGGCAGAGAGGCAGGCAGAGAGAGAGAGAGAGAGGGAAGCAGGCTCCCTGCTGAGCAGAGAGCCCAATGCAGGGCTTGATCCCAGGACCCTGAGATCATGACCTGAGCCGAAGGCAGCAGCTTAACCCCTTGAGACACCCAGGTGCCCTATTTTCATCTTTTTGAGGAGCCTCCATGCTGTCTTCTAGAGTGGCTGCACCAGCTTGCATTCCCACCAACAGTGAAGGAGGGTTCCCCTTTCTCCACACCCTCACCAGCATCTGTCGTTTCCTGATTTAGCAACTGATTTCTGTACATTGATTTTGTATCCTGCCACATTACTGAATTGCTGTAGGAGTTCTAGTAATTTGGGGGTGGAATCTTTTGGGTTTTCTACATAAAGTATCATGTCATCTGTGAACAGAGAGTTTGACTTCTACTTTGCCAATCTGAATACCTTTTCTCTTTGTTGTCTGATTTCTGTGGTTAGGACTTCTAATACTGTGTTGAACAAAAGTGGCGAGAGTGGATATCCTTGTTGTGTTCCTGATTTTAAGGGAAAGGCTCTCAGCT